TGCCCCACTGGCCCCCCAGGGGCACGCAGCTATTGTTATTTTCCCCCTCCCCCGCAGGATGAACTTGCGTCCTTTCTCTTCTCCGCCATGGAATTCTGCTCCGTGCTTTTAGCCCTCCTGAGCCAAAGAAACCCCAGACAACAGATGCCCATACGCAGCGTATAGCAGTAACTCCCCAGCTCGGTTTCTGTGCCGTAGTTTACAGTATTTAATTTTATATAATATATATTATTTATTATAGCATTTTTGATACCTCATATTCTGTTTACACATCTTGAAAGCCGCTCAGTAGTTCTCTTACTAAACAACCACTACTCTAGAGAATGGCAACGCTGATTACCAGTACTACAGCTGCTACCGCCGCTTCTGGTCCTTTGGTGGACTACCTATGGATGCTCATCCTGGGCTTCGTTATTGCATTTGTCTTGGCATTCTCCGTGGGAGCCAATGATGTAGCAAATTCTTTTGGTACAGCTGTGGGCTCAGGTGTAGTGACCCTGAAGCAAGCCTGCATCCTAGCTAGCATCTTTGAAACAGTGGGCTCTGTCTTACTGGGGGCCAAAGTGAGCGAAACCATCCGGAAGGGCTTGATTGACGTGGAGATGTACAACTCGACTCAAGGGCTGCTGATGGCCGGCTCAGTCAGTGCTATGTTTGGTAAGTTCTTTTTAGGTTTTGTCCTCTTTGTGGTGGGTGAGCAAATTTGTGTCATGGGTGGTTCCATTTTTGTGCTTAACCTTTCAGATTAACCTTTCTGAATGCGCCACTTACATAATGGAATTTTGCCATTTACTTAATAAAACTTGACTGTTTCAGGTTCTGCTGTGTGGCAACTCGTTGCTTCGTTTTTGAAGCTCCCCATTTCTGGAACTCATTGTATTGTTGGTGCAACCATTGGTTTCTCCCTCGTGGCAAAGGGGCAGGAGGGTGTCAAGTGGTCTGAACTGATAAAAATTGGTATGTTTAATTCCAAATGGCTTCTTCATTTTCGTGTTTGTCGTTTGTTACCATGGCTTTAGATGTGGGAGTATGTGTTCTAACGTGGAGGGACAGACCAAAGAATTTTGAACTCTTAAACATTTAAAAGTGGTTTCTGGTTTCTGATTTTCATTATTTGATATTTTTTCTTAATGTGTTCTCTTCCAGTGATGTCTTGGTTCGTGTCCCCACTGCTTTCTGGAATTATGTCTGGAATTTTATTCTTCTTAGTTCGTGCATTCATCCTCCATAAGGTAACCTTTCTCCCCTGTATGAAGACCTTTCATGGAGCACACCCAATCGATTTCGAACCCAGTGGTATTTTCGCAGATGTGATTGGTGTATAGATATGTGGCCTCGAAAAGTTAAAAAAAGTTATTTATTCTGTGCGTGTCTTGTATGTTGTGGAGTTCTCTGAAAGCAAGTTTTTAATACTCAAGAGGGCAGTCAGGAAGGAAGAATTGAATACTATGATGTGCCAAGAAATAGGAGAAGCTGGGAGCAAAAAAATACAGAAATTTATTTTGGGTGGCTTTGTGTAGCTGTCTACAGATTATTTGTTTAAACCACCATTATATTCAGGCTAATATAATGCGTAAGCTTGGAGTTCAAGACAGTGTTTCCTGTGGCTTTTTTAGTAAGCTGCCAATTAAATGGGTCTCTGCAGTACTGATTATCATAACCAGTTTATAAGCTTCTAGATGAGGACTCTGCCTCCCATGGTGACTTGACTCCAATTTCTCAGAATAGGTGAAAAGAACCAGTTAAAGGTAGTTTTTGGCTAAAAAAAAAATTCAGGCAGCCATTTAATTTCCTGTCCATTTGAAAATCCCTTTTAAGTGACCCAATAGCATTTCTTTGATCAAGAAGTCATGCTGGCTCCAGAATAAATGTTGACAGGGGATTATGTTGGCATAGCACCGAGTTACGGTGAGAATAAATGCATTTTTCTCAGGACACAAAGTTGTCCTTTTTCTAAGGTGAATGGCTCTTAACGATCCACTGTAAGTTCTTAAAAATGTTCCTAAACTCTAGAAATCTGAGTGAGATAGCATAAATCCCAGCAGGTAAAAATGTGTGCAGACCCACTTGTCTGGTCTAGTCTAGTTCTAAGCTTCTCTAGGGAAAGATTTGTCTATTCTCTGTAGAAATTCTATGACTAGTAAAGTGATTCACTGATCACTTTTCCATAGCTGGAATCTGGCAGAATAGAGCAGTTTAACACTTTGAAAACTTGAAATATCGTTAGCTTGGTATAATTTGAGAGTGAACAGTTCATTGATGTTTATGAACTCTTAAGTTTGGTACTGTTTTATTCAGCAGACAGGTGCGATGAGCATCTACCTTCCCACTCCCTACAACTGTAGTGTACGATACTAGGATGCTTAAATTAGAGGCTCACCAGTAGTGATGGACCAGATTGTTTTTTTTAGTGTTTTTATTAGAACCCTATATCTTGCTACTTAACAGAGAGTCAGAAGCATTAGTAGGATCTCCTGCTGTGAATTCCTGCTTGGTACAGGTTTATACTGGCCCTGCGTTGATTACTGAGTAGTAGATCATTTTGTTTTTGGAGAGGGTTTGTGTGTTTCGCCTCCACAAAACACTTATTCCCCAGAAGGGAGTGGTGGTGCTCTGGGGTGCAAAGAAGGATTCTCAGGTGCCCAGAACCTCTTATTTGAGGAATGCATACCCCCGCGGTGTTAGTGAGAGCTGAAGTTAGATACAGTAACTGATTTCTTAATTGTATATGTCTTATATGGGTATGGGAATGGGCATGATCAAATGATGAAGAACGATTGGCATAGTGTTTTTTTTTTTTTTTTTTTGAGATGGAGTCTCGCTCTGTCACCCAGGCTGGAGTGCAGTGGCTGGATCTCAGCTCACTGCAAGCTCCGCCTCCCGGGTTTACGCCATTCTCCTGCCTCAGCCTCCCGAGTAGCTGGGACTACAGGCGCCCACCACCTCGCCCGGCTAGTTTTTGTATTTTTTTAGTAGAGACGGGGTTTCACCGTGTTAGCCAGGATGGTCTCGATCTCCTGACCTCGTGATCCACCCGTCTCAGCCTCCCAAAGTGCTGGGATTACAGGCTTGAGCCACCGCGCCCGGCCTGGCATTGTGTTTAAAACAGTATTGACTTTGAGGATCTTCCCCCACTCTGTGCACGCGCACACACACACTCTTGCAGGCCAATCCCTCAGTAACAGGAGTTTTTCAGATGAGTATGAATATTTCTGCTTCCTTTTAGGAGTTAAATTTCAAGAAAATATCCTTAGACTGGTAAGCTTTGGGTATCCTAACTGCTAAAATCTGAATATTTGACCATTAAGATACATTCCAACTCTTAAATGTCTGTCTTGAAAATTAAGATTAAAATGACTTCTTTAATTTCAAAAAATTGCTTATTCTCTGAATGTTTGTTCCAAGCATGTTGGGAATCTGGTGGGAACAGACAGAATGGAGGTGAGTTAGTTCTGTTTAGGACTGGCATTGCACAGAAGGAATGCTCTTCAGTGCTCCTGTTGAGTATTTTTAAATTCTAGTCAAAGAAAAAAGAAACAGGGCTTTTGGCATTCTCATTTGTTAGAAATATATCTAGGATATCTTCCCTTTTCTTTAGACAAAACCAGAATATCCAATACGTAAAAGTGAACTATTCTGGTGAAGATGGGGGGTTTTGTGAAGACCTTCTTTCCCATCCCACATGACTAGACGAGGAGGCATTCACATTATTTCCAGGTGAAGTTTTACTTGTGTGTTAGGTGGATCTGTACAATGATGAGAGACCTTCCTTGTTTTATCTTCTTCCTAGACTCTCCGGAACTTTCTCCGAACTTTTGTTATCTTTTTTAAACCATGAACCTGTATTCCTTAATAAACTATTCGTATAGTAGTGTAATTCATACCCTACCCCATCCCCAACAACTTTGCGTAGAGAGTACCTCAGATTTGTTTACCTCGGGGAATACTTAATTGGGCTATAATACAGGATAATAAATACACAGGCTGCTACTTCTGACTAGCCAGTTACAATTTGATTTATAGATAACCATATTTTGAAATATCTTTCAAAATCTATTGAGAAGTCCCCACATAATGTCTTTAAAACCCTAAAGGGTTTTAATTTTGGGGAGTGGAAGTCTTGGGTTGGGTTTTTTGGAGGCCTTTTTTTTTTTTCTTTTTTTTTTTGAGACAGAGTCTCACTCTGTCGCCCAGGCTGGAATGTAGTGGCACGATCTGGGCTCACTGCAACCTCCGCCTCCCGGGCTCAAGCAATTCTCCTGCCTCAGCCTCCTGAGTAGCCGGGATTACAGGTGCTTGCCACCACACCCAACTAGTATTTTTGTATTTTTAGTAGAGACAGGGTTTCACCATGTTGGTCAAGCTGGTCTCGAACTCCTGACCTCACGTGCTCTGTCCACCTTGGCCTCCCAAAGTGCTGGGATTACAGGCTTGAGCCACTGCACCTGGCCCTTTTTTTTTTTTTTTTTAAGAAGCGAAGTCTTGCCCTGTCACCCAGGCTGGAGTACGGTGACTTAATTGTAGCTCACTGCAGCCTTGACCTCCCAGGCTCAAGCAATCCTCCTGCCTCAACCTCCAGAGTAGCTGGGACTACAGGTGTGTGCCACCACATCTGGCTAACTTTTCATATTTTATAGAGGTGGGGTCTTGCTCTGTTGCTCAAGTTGGTCTTGAACTTCTGGGCTCAATCCATGCCCCTGTCTCATCCTCCCAAAGTGCTGGGATTACAGACAGACGTGAGCCACCACCACACCTGACCTGCATTTTCTTAAGACTAGTCTTTACAATAAAAATACACACCTTAGTTTCCTCATTTTGTTGACTGCCCTCAGAGTTTGGAGTTAGTTATTCAAGGATGCTTAACAGTTCTTGGTTTCTGTAGGCTACTGTTTTTGTTTTGAGTGTTTCACTATCTGTTAACATTCTCTATTAAACTGTAGATAAGAGTTAAATTTTAGAGTGGTTTTCAGTGAGCACCCGTCTCTGCTAATTTGAAATGGTACCTTTACTTTACACTTGGGTCTGCGCTTTCCCTTGTTTCATTGCTCTTAAGCTACTGACTTTCCAGTGTATTGATTATTGGTAGAAGCTATAGAGTTTTACTCTGTTTTTGCTCCCCAAGATTTTCCATTGGAATTGTGATCCAAGATAGCATTAAGCCTTTTAGGTTAAGATCTTTATAAGTTTTTAGCCTTCCCATGTATGTATTCAGATCTTTGCTCCCAATTTTTTTTTTAGGTTAAGGTCTTTATAAAGATTTTAGCCTTCCTATGTATGTATTCAGATCTTTGCTCCCAATTTTTTTTTTTTTTTCCTGAAAGGGAGTCTTGCTCTGTTGCCCAGGCTGGAGTGAGGTGGCCCAATCTCCGCTCACTGCAACCTCCGCCTCCCAGGTTCAAGTGATCCTCCTGCCTCAGCCTCCTGAGTAGCTGGGACTACAGATGCTTGCCACCACGTCTGGCTTATTTTTTGTATTTTTAGTAGAGACAGGGTTTCACCGTATTACGTAGGATGGTCTCGATCTCGTGACCTCATGATTCTCCTGCCTTGGCCTCCCAAAGTGCTGGGATTACAGGTGTGAGCCACCACGCCCAGCCTCCTCCCATTCTTTTGGTGTTTGACTTGGGTGTTCTCCTATAGAATTAATACATACTAGGTATGGTAGAGTTCTTATTTTTAGTCACTGGCCTTACTGTTCCTTAAACATTTCAAATTTTTGCCTCAGGGCCTTTGCACTTGCTGATACCTCTGTCTGGAACAGTCAGCACCCAATTAATCAGGTGGTTTGCCCCTTCTGTACCCCTAGTTAATGTACACAACTTGCTAGCTTACTACATTTAATGTCATGCTCATTCCTTGACTCTTCCCCACCCGAATGGTGCCCCCCCATCACTCTCCTCTTACCCTTCTTTAATTTTCTTCACAGCATTTGTCACTATTTTACATTATTCCATACTAGAAGGTGAGTGTCAGTTCTATTAGAACAGAAACTTGGTCTTACTCCCTCCTGTATTTCAGTGCCCAGAATAGTGCTTGGCACACAGTCTGTTGAGTGAGTGGATGACCTTGTGTGCAATCAGTTATTATCGTTGAACTTTGGTAAAGCATTAATTATGGCATCTTTGTCAGATGTTTAGATAAGATAGTTGCCGTAGGTATAGTCTGCATGTTGTGTTTTTAGTCTTTGAAGGTATGAAGTCAGGTAAGCAAGATCCTAACATAGTCTGTTTCTTGACGTCTCTTACAGATGTAGAGTATAGCCTATCCTCAGGTGTGTGCTCAAGTTTACATTAGGGCTTTTGGGTACCTTAGAATGTGGGTATTGCAATCTTTATTCAGGATGTTATCAGTCACTGGTACAGTTAGCCTTGTTATTAAAAATAGAAAAAAGAAAAAAAAAAACAGGTAGAAGTTGGAATTAGCCTTTGTAGGAAGAATTCCAGGCGCAAATGCAGGAAAAACCCAGTTGTCCTTGGAAACTGCTCTGGAGGAAGAGTTGTTGGCACTATAATTCCCAAACCTACCCTATTAAGAGATTCTGTGAAAATGGGTTAACCTTTATACCTTTTAAGATACTGATCTTAATAATGTTTTACAGGCAGATCCAGTTCCTAATGGTTTGCGAGCTTTGCCAGTTTTCTATGCCTGCACAGTTGGAATAAACCTCTTTTCCATCATGTATACTGGAGCACCGTGTAAGTAACTATCAAAATATTTAAATGTGAATTTAAAGTTGTTTACAAAACTTGCATTAAATGCCCAATTTACCCCTTTTTGCTTTACAGGGCTGAAATCTCCTAGAAGGTGGCTGGCCTGCGCCCATTTCAGAAGGCTGCAGGCTAGTGTACGCTGAGTTAACCTAGATAGTTTTTCAACCAAAGAGACCTGCTCAGATTCTAAATCACTACAGACCTTTCCTCTTTAGTCTTCACAGGATCCACTGATAATAGGATCATCTCCTTCCCTTTCTCCTGTCTATGCTAAAAATGCTGGAATTAATACTGACCTCAACTACTGAAGTCATTAGTTATATCTCATCTTCAGTAATCAGTCGTTTAGGACTGGTTTGCTGGATATTCTCATTTTTCTCTCCCAAATGGAGATACTATTGTTTCTAAGTACTAAACTTCCATGAATCTGCTTGAATGAGAAGAGTTGGGATGTTTACCACCTGCTCTAAGTGCACTTGGAAGAAGAATTCATGCAGCTAAGAGGAAAAATAATTTGTGAGAATATAAAGGTTGAAATGTTGATGACTTTCATGTTTGGGACTAAGGCAAGGCATGGATTAAATTATGGTGCTACAAGTTTAGCAACAACAAAAGATGGGTAACTTATAACTGGCAAGACAGTACAGTTTTGGTATCTTGGCTCATTTGACCTGATAGTCTGTGACTACATAGGCAGTGATTTTTATTCTTTATACTGTGACCCACTAGATGAAATAGAGGACACGTGTATGTATGCAGAGAGAAAGATAACTGAAAGAGTTTCGTGAATCCACTTATGCTTACTATGTGCTGTGCACCCATATTTTCAAATTCTGTCTCTCTCTCTTTTTTTTTTTTTTAACATTTGTTGTGGCCCACTGAAATGATTTCAGTTTTGACTAATGGGTTGTGACTTGCTTAAACCACACTGAAGTGGTAAGTTGCTGACCCAAAATAGAGTTAGCTAAATATTTTTATTTTTTGTTTATTTTTTTGAGACAGTTTTGCTCTTGTTGCCCAGGCTGGAGTGCAATGGCATGATTTTGGCTCACCACAACCTCCAGCTCCCGGGTTCAAGCAATTCTCCTGCCTCAGTCTCCCAAGTAGCTGGGATTATAGGCATGTGCCGCCACACCCAGCTAATTTTGTATTTTTAGTAGAGATGAGGTCTCTCCATGTTGGTCAAGCTGATCTCCAACTCCTGACCTCAGGTGATCCACCTGCCTCAGCCTCCCAAAGTGCTGGGATTACAGGCATGATCACCACACCCAGCCAATACTTTGATTTTTTATCTTATTTTAGATTCAGGGATTATATGTGCATTTTGTTAGATGGAGCTAAGTATTTTTAATCTTGCTTTTATTCTTGGAATGATCAGGAACAAAACAGACAAGTTTAAGAAAATATTGTTCTTAGGATATACTGAACTCTTACGTGCAGGTGAAGAGAAGCTTGTATGCCAGATTTCCATTGTAAAATGAGTTATTTGTGATGAGCTAAAAAGTCTCCTATTGAGGCTCTTAGCGCTCATTGTTTACATGGTAGAAGCAAAGCTCAGAGTTGAGTTAAATTAGAATCGTTTTGAAAACAGAAACTTAGATATTTTTGTTCTGTCCTTTATGGATCATTTATGAGAAAAACCAGTCTCTTCCCCTTTTGACTTGGAATGTAGACCAACTTGTGATAGACAATACTTTCATGTATATTTTAGTTTGTGTGACCACATGATCAAAACTGAAAGCAGAAATTAAAAGGAAAAGATGTATAGTCACCGTAGAGTTGTAGTTTGGTGCCAGATGCCGTGGCTCATGCTTGTAATCCCAGCACTTTGGGAGGCCGAGGTGGGTGGATCATGAGGTCAGGAGTTCAAGACCAGCCTGGCCAAGATGGCGAAACCTTGTCTCTACTAAAAACTACAAAAACTAACCCGGTGTGGTGGCAGGCGCCTGTAATCCCAGCTACTTGGGAGGCTGAGGCACGAGAATCACTTGAACCTGGGAGGTGGAGGTTGCAGTGAGCCAAGATCGTGCCACTGCACTCCAGCCTGGGCAACAGTACGTCTCAAAAAAAAAAAAAAAACCAATTTTGAAGGGACCTCAATTTGTTTCTGATTGATTGATTGATTCATTGATTTTTTGAGACGGAGTCTCGCCCTGTCACCGAGGCTGGAGTGCATTGGTGCGATCTTGGCTCACTGCAATCTCCACCTCCCGGGTTCGAGCAGTTCTCCTGCTTCAGCCTCTTGAGTAGAGTAGCTGGGATTACACATGTGCATTACCACGCCCCAGCTAATTTTTGTATTTTTAGTAGAGACATGGTTTCACCATGTTGGCCAGGCTGGTCTCAAACTCTTGACCTCAGGTGATTCACCCACCTCAGCCTCCCAAAGTGCTGGGATTATAGGCGTGAGCCGCCGCGTCTGGCCTTGTATCTATTTTTAAAGATTAATCATTTTGGGGTTTAATAGAATTTCCAGTTTATAAGTACAGTCACTGACTTCATGGTTCAGTCTTCAGTTATTTGACTTTTTGATGGGTTTATAGGTACATAACCTCATTGTAAGTTGAGGAACATCTGTGATTTCATACATAGCAAGCAAAATAAAGCAAAACAAGCAGAAGTAACTAAGCTATTTCTAGATATCAACTACAGATCATTATAATATCTTTTATATATATATATATATTTCCCCCCCCCCCAGGGATGGGGTCTTGCTGTGTTGCCCAGGCTGGCCTTGTATTCCTGGGCTTAGGGGGTTCTCCCACTTCAGTCTCCTGAGTAGCTAGAGATCATTATAACATCTGTTAGACTTAAGTAGGATAATATAGTGCTTTACTTCTTTTTTGTTTTTGTGATGGAGTTTCACTCTTGTCACCCAGGCTGGATGGAGTGCAGTGGCGCGATCTTGGCTCACTGCAACTTCCACCTCCCGAGTTCAAGTGATTCTCCTACCTCAGCTTCCCGAGTAACTGGGATTACGGGTGCCCACCACCACATCTGGCTAATTTTTGTATTTTCAGTAGAGACGGGGTTTCACCAGGCTGGTCTTGAACTCCTGACCTCAGGTGCTCTGCCCATCTCAGCCTCCCAAAGTGCTGGGATTACAGGTGTGAGACACTGTGCCTGGCCGGTGCTTTACTTCTGTCTGTAGCACAGGCTAATGGTTTGGAGCATACTGGCATGCATATGACAATCAGATAATGACTAATACTACGCATCCTTAAACCATGTGACCAGTGTTGCTAGGCAAGTCTTTTTTTAACGTAAGACTTGTTAGTGAAATTACCACTAAACTTTGTGTGTGTGTGAAAGACGAAACTTTTTTTTTTTTTGAGACAAAGTCTTGCTTTGTCACCCAGGCTGGGGTGCAGTGGCGCAATCTCAGCTCACTGCAGCCTCCGTCCTGCACCCCCAGGGTCAAGTGATTCACCTCAGCCTCCCCAGTAGCTGGGACTACAGGCGCCCACCACCATGCCCGGCCAATTTTTTTGTGTATTTTCAGTAGAGACGGGGTTTTGACATGTTGGCCAGGCTGGTCTCGAACGCCTGACTTCAAGTGATCTGCCTGCCTGGCCTCCCAAAGTGCTGGAATTACAGGCATGAGCCACCTTGCCTGGCCGAAAGACAAAACTTTTAAAACTCTTCCTTCAATTATTAACTTTTGATAGATAATATCCTTGTTTTCTGTGTCTTTGATATTGCTTTCAAGGAGATAATCTCATTAAAGCATTTTACTAAAAAAGGCCAGTACAATGAATATAATCACCTTTTTACAGAATTCTGTCAGCATGACAAATGTGACTACTGAGACATTGTTCTAACATTAAGTTTGGAGGTGGTAATGGAATATGTGGCAGTTATGATCATGAGCTAGGGAGTGGAACGCTGTCTTTTTCATAGCTAGTCATAGGTCCTTAGCATGTAGTGATCCTTATTATCTTCCAAGGTGAAGAAAGGAAAAAGGCTATATGTTGAGAAGCATAGGACACTTGAGTCCCGCAGGTGTTCAGGTGGGCCGGGCTGGTGTGGGTTTTCAGATGATCATTGAGTTTTTCTCCCAAATTTGTATAGGCACTAGCACAGTAATCCTGTGCACTTAAATCTGGCAGCAGTTGTCAAGGGTGATGGGCTGGCCTGGGGAACGCCTCAGTCCCCGGAGGAGGGTTTACACAGTATTGCAGGGGGCTGTTGCCCTGGGGTTTTCAAGATGCACCATTTTATCTCCTAGTGCTGGGCTTTGACAAACTTCCTCTGTGGGGTACCATCCTCATCTCGGTGGGATGTGCAGTTTTCTGTGCCCTTATCGTCTGGTTCTTTGTATGTCCCAGGATGAAGAGAAAAATTGAACGTAAGTAATAACTTATAACAGAAAAATTTATCTAATAATGTTGTGTTTCTTTTTGATTTGGCCACCTGTAAAAATCTATCAGGAGAGATTGGCAAAATAAGAGATTTTAAAGAGAAATTTGAGGATATGGGTTTGCTGTCCAAACTGTGTTCTTAAGTGGACCTACATGACCTAAGACCTAGTGATAGAGAGTATTCAACCTATGCTGTAGAGACAATCTGGGCATTGAATTTTTTTTTTTTAAATGTTCCTTGGTCAGTTGCCAATGACATGATAGATAAATTGAGAAATCATAGCCTACATTTACTGAGAAGTACGAGGATACCTTAATGAAAAATAAGGGGTAGGTACAAGATATTTTCTTAGAGGTAAATATCCCAACTACTTCTGTGTATAACTTCAGATTCAGATAAGCAAAGCTAAGTTTAATGTGTACATGTTGTATATGGGCTAGAATACATGTAGGCATTGTGTTGCAGTGTACAATACAAATACATATACAAACACACATTGTGTGTCTGCTAGAATTGTAGCACAGATTCTAGAAGTAAACATTTTCAGGTGTCATGTGAAGGAATCGTTTAGGCCATTAGAACACACTCCTGTAATACTGAGTAAATTTTGGTTAGTATCAGGCTTTTTTTTTTTTCCCCCCTTAAAAGAATCATTTTCTGCCCTTTTCATCTATGTGAAGGCTGGGTTAGCAATTTCAAGGTTATCCTTCTGCCCTTTTCATCTATGTGAAGGCTGGGTTAGCAATTTGAAGTTTATCCTTTTGAAGGTGAGGGATGCACAGACTGCAGTGGCGTTAGGAAGAATGCTGCGTCACCGCAGCTGAACCGAGGGGCCTCCGAGAGGTTCTGTGCTAGTCTGGCTGTGCCGAGTGCACGGTGGAAACCAGGCTTTCAGGACTCTCTGACCTCATTTTCCCTCTCTGGGAGGAGATGAGATAAGTCTTGCTTTATGTTAGAAAGTCTGTAGTTTGAGGTGCCTGAATGGATAGGTCAGCATACTGAGCACTGGCATGAGAGAGAGGCAGAAGATACTCTAGTCTGCCTGTGGGATTTAGAGCCATGATGCACATCTTTTTGTTTTATAGAGATGGAAATTAAAGTTGTCGTCTTTAGTTCCCTGCATTGAGCTGTGCCACTTTGCTCGAATTGTTGGACTGAAATTTGAGAGAATCCTCTTTTCAAAAGAACAGAATTCGATACAGTTCAGATTTTTAGTTTCAGATTATCAGCCCCATGGTTGAGCTACTTTCCACTACAGAATGAGTTGGCAGGGAGCTAAGAGGGGGTTCTTATAGCTGTAAAGGGTTGTAAAAATAAAAACAAAACAAGAATGTGCTACAGAAGCCCATAAAACCTAAAATATTTACAGAAAAACGTTGGGACCCCTGACGTAGGGTGTCCTGCATTGCTGGTGGTTCCCAGGTGAGAGCTGCTGGCAAATGATAAAGCAGGCAGGAAAAATGTTCCTGAATGTTAACTGAAGTTCACATACATTCTTGTTTTGAGATGAGTTTTTTGGGGGTGGAGGAAAAAGTAGCAGGGTCACAACCAAACCAAAAAACCCCCCTTTTTTTTTTCTAGGAGAAATAAAGTGTAGTCCTTCTGAAAGCCCCTTAATGGAAAAAAAGAATAGCTTGAAAGAAGACCATGAAGAAACAAAGTTGTCTGCCAGTGATACTGAAAGCAGGAATCCTGTTTCGGAGATAGGGCCTGCCGCTCTGCCCCTCCAGGCTGTGGTGGAGGAGAGAACAGTCTCATTCAAACTTGGAGATCTGGAGGAAGCTCCAGAGCGAGAGAGGCTTCCCAGCGTGGACTTGAAAGAGGAAACCAGCATAGATAGCACCGTGAATGGTGAGTTGGAATTCCTGTTTTCACTTTGTTACCGGCGGTGGTGAGGAGGTGATTGTTGTGGATCTGATGCTTTTTGTATTGAATGTCACCTTGGTGGTCTTGACTAGGTGCAGTGCAGTTGCCTAATGGGAACCTTGTCCAGTTCAGTCAAGCTGTCAGCAACCAAATAAACTCCAGTGGCCACTACCAGTATCACACCGTGCATAAGGATTCTGGCTTGTACAAAGAGCTGCTCCATAAATTACATCTGGCCAAGGTGGGAGATTGCATGGGAGACTCTGGTGACAAACCCTTAAGGCGCAATAATAGCTATACTTCCTATACCATGGCAATATGTGGCATGCCTCTGGATTCATTCCGTGCCAAAGAAGGTGAACAGAAGGGCGAAGAAATAGAGAAGCTGACGTGGCCTAATGCAGACTCCAGGAAGCGAATTCGAATGGACAGTTACACTAGTTACTGCAATGCTGTGTCTGACCTTCACTCGGCATCTGAGATAGACATGAGTGTCAAGGCAGAGATGGGTCTAGGTGACAGAAAAGGAAGTCATGGCTCTCTAGAAGAATGGTATGACCAAGATAAGCCTGAAGTCTCTCTCCTCTTCCAGTTCCTGCAGATCCTTACAGCCTGCTTTGGGTCATTTGCCCATGGTGGCAATGACGTAAGGTCAGTTGACATTGATCTTAGTGTTGCTAACCCTATTTTTAAACTGTTTATCCTTGTCATAGCCTGTGCTTGTGGTAGTGGTACTCCTAGCATTTACGGGACCCCAAATAATCCAAATAGGATGAGGTAATAGCAGTTCTTGACATAATGAGACAGTACAGTTTTATTCTTCGGAGGAATTACAGACAATGTTTATTTTTGTAGTTGATAAATATAAACAGATATTCTTCACAGAGAAGGCTTTTGTCTATCAAGATGAGATTCAGTTCTTTGATAATGAATTGTGGCATGTAAGATAAGATGTAAGATGAAAAACTTAAGTTTTTCATATAGAATGATTTTGTAGTTTAGTTTGTAAACTGTTTATTGGAACCCGAGAGTTGCTTTAAGCTGCCTATAGGAGGAAAGAGGCCACCATTTGCGTGGCATTCCCTCCATCAGAGCTGTGTTCATATTTCTGTTGTATATGTTGGGGTTCCATTTATGTCCTTAGAAAAAAAGGTCCTTTTGCCAGATGAGCTTGAAAGCTGTACTTTAGACAACCTGGTAGGTCATTCAGCAGATTGGGTCTTGCCAAGATCTAGTTCTGCCTGAAAAGTCACTTCCGCCCTCTTTGTCTCTTCCAGCAATGCCATTGGGCCTCTGGTTGCTTTATATTTGGTTTATGACACGGGAGATGTTTCTTCAAAAGTGGCAACACCAATATGGCTTCTACTCTATGGTGGTGTTGGTATCTGTATTGGTCTCTGGGTCTGGGGAAGAAGAGTTATCCAGACCATGGGGAAGGATCTGACACCGATCACACCCTCTAGGTAAGTAGGTGGAGCAGGTTCTACAAATGTCAGTACTCATTTTTTTCAGAGATGTAATACTGTCGAGTGCTAACACAAATCTCTTGTTGAACGTAACCAAGTTCCTGATGTTCTTATTGTCGGTGTGTTCTTTTTAGATTTTACTTGTCTGGCCCTTAAACATTTTGGTCAGACCCATTCAGCTCTGGGGGTCTCTGAAGAAAATGACTTTTCTGAGAAAGCTGTGTGCGCTAAGAGGGGATGGTTGCGTATACTTGCCTTTTATTTGTCTTTACTTCGGAGCTAAGACTCAATGTTTGCCAAACTCTTCAAAATAAAAGTGCAAATTTTATTTAATAGTGGAATTTCAGAAAAATGTAAAACTTGAAACCTTCGAATAAGGAAACTGGGCATCCATGGCCTGATTTAAATGAAGTAGATAGTCTTAGGGGTTATAGCACGTAAAGATGTCAGTGGAGGTTTTGTGACTGAGTAGAACAAAACAGGACTGTGTTCACTTGAGGCGTAGTGTTAGCTTCTCAAAAAAGTCAAACTCACTTCCTGACAAGAATCCTTTTGTGTCTATAGTGGCTTCAGTATTGAACTGGCATCTGCCCTCACTGTGGTGATTGCATCAAATATTGGCCTTCCCATCAGTACAACACATTGTAAAGTAAGTGTAATGCCAATGTGTGTCTTTCAAATGGTTCTTCTAATATGTAGGGTTTTTAATTTTACTTCTCTGATACTTTGATTTAGAAGGTTTTGTGCAATTGGAGTCTTGAAGAGTTCATAAATCTAGGACAAGCATACAATTTCTTGTGTCTATTCTTGTTTAAGCAATTAAATAGATATTCTCCCCAAATAATAGAAACATTCTTTTATATAGAGCTTACTGTAATTTCTGGTTACTAACCTCTCCCTTTGTTACTTAATCCTCCCTCATTGTAGTCTCTTTATAATATATATATATATTTTTAAAATCTCAAGGGTCATTTCTACTTGGCACCATTATGTTTTATTTATTTACTTATGAGTTGGAGTCTTTCTCTGTGGCCCAGGCTGGAGTGCAGTGGCACAATCTTGGCTCACTGCAACCTCCGCCTCCTGGGCTCAAGTGATTCGTGTGCCTCAGCCTCCCAAGTAGGTGGGATTACAGGCACCTGCCACCATGCCTGGCTAATTTTTGTATTTTTAGTAGACACATGATTTCACCTTGTTGGCCAGGCCGGTCATGAACTCTTTCCTGACCTCAGGTGATCTACCTGGCTTGACCTCCCAAAGTTCTGGGATTACATGCGTGAGCTACCGCTCCCGGCTGACACCATTATGTTCTTTGTCTTTGGGGAAGCCATTCAGAGCAGGGTAGGTGTGTGCTTAAAAACTGGTGGGTGCTTTAATTCTGGCCAGGTGGGTTTCTGCTGCCATTTGTGGTGGCTGAAGGCCTGGTTCTAACAAGTCTGTGAGGCTTGCCAAAATGTTGGCAAGGCAGTTTATTTACAGAAGGCATATATTCAGGGCCTCTCGGGATTGAAATACTGAGAAACAAAACAAATCTTAAGGTTGTCTGATGATAATCTAATAATTATAGGAAAAGAAAGAAACTGGTTTCCTTAAGAGCATTTAAGCTGGTCCATCATGGATCCTGCTGAGTCATCTATTTGCTGCCAGGTTGTGTCTCCCAGCAATTGTTTATTAGGTTTAATATCAGCCACTCTGTAAATAATCTTAGGAAGACTTACAGGGCAATTTGTTGTTAAAAGCAGTGTATAGGCCGGGCGCGGTGGCTCACGCCTGTAATCCCAGCACTCTGGGAGGCCGAGGCGGGTGGATCACGAGATCAGGAGTTTGAGACCAGCCTGGCCAACATAGTGAAACCCCGTCTCTACTAAAAATACAAAAAATTAGCTGGGCATGGTGGCGGGTGCCTGTAATCTCAGCTACCTGGGAGGCTGAGGCAGGAGAATTACATGAAGCCGGGAAGCAGAGGTTGCAGTGAGCCGAGATTGTGCCACTGCACTCCAGCCTGGGCAACAGTGTGAGACTCTGTCTCAAAAAAAAAAATAAATAAAATAAATATATAAACAGTATATATTCATTAAATTTTAGTAGCTTAGAAGGGGAAAAGAAATAGTTCTTGTGTCCTTTTACTACCGTTAGTATAGATTATGATTGGATTTTCAAATTGCCTTCATTTTCCCATCTTAACCTATTGTAAACCAGCTTTCTTGGACTTGGTCTTGTCCAGGGGTCTGGGGCTCCTTGTCCAAACAGTCTCAGGTGTCTGTTTGCCAAAATACCATTGCCGGTTTAATTACCTGTTTCCTTGGTCTGTTTCTCTTTTAGGTGGGCTCTGTTGTGTCTGTTGGCTGGCTCCGGTCCAAGAAGGCTGTTGACTGGCGTCTCTTTCGTAACATTTTTATGGCCTGGTTTGTCACAGTCCCCATTTCTGGAGTTATCAGTGCTGCCATCATGGCAGTCTTCAGATACGTCATCCTCAGAATGTGAAGCTGTTTGAGATTGAAATTTGTGTCAATGTTTGGGACCACCTTAGGTATTCCTGCTTCCCTGAAGAATGATTGCGGTGTTGTTGAAGACTGACAAGAGTGTTTTTATTTGGGAGCCAGATGAGGGAAGTGTTACTTGTGCTATAATTGCTTTTGTGCTAAATATGAATTGTCTCAAAATCAGCTATGTAAAATAGCCAGGGTTCCACTGGCTCCTGCTGAGGTCCCCTTTCCTTCTGGGCTGTGAATTCCTGTACATATTTCTCTACTTTTTGTATCAGGCTTCAATTCCATTATGTTTTAATGTTGTCTCTGAAGATGACTTGTGATTTTTTTTTTTTTTTTTAAAACAACCATGCAGAGCCATTTGACAGAGTATGCTCTGCTTCGTTGGTTTCACCAGCTTCTGCCCTAACATGCACAGGGATTTAACAACAAAAAAATATAACTAAAACTTCCCTTGTAGTCTCTTATATAAGTAGAGTCATTGGTACTCTGCCCTCCTGTCAGTAGTGGCAGGATCTATTGGCATATGTGGGAGCTTCTTAGAGGGATGAGGTTCTTTGAACACAGTGAAAATTTAAATTAGTAACTTTTTTGCAAGCAGTTCATTGACTGTTACTGCTAAGAAGAAGTAAGAAGGAAAAGCCTTTTGGCAATCTTGGTTATTTCTTTAAGATTTCTGGCAGTGTGGGATGGATGAATGAAGTGGAATGTGAACTTTGGTCAAGTTAAATGGGACAGCCTTCCATGTTCATCTGTCTACCTCTTAACTGAATAAAAAAGCCTACAGTTTTTAGAAAATTTGTTCTCATGGTTTTCATTCATACTTAAATCATCTGGGCTTCTGATCAGTTCACCTTATATCTTTTTTTTTTTTTTTGAGACAGATTCTCACTGTGTCGCCCAGGCTGGAGTGCAGTGGTGTGATCTTGGCTCACTGCAAGCTCCGCCTCCCGGGTTCACGCCATTCTCCTGCCTCAGCCTCCCTAGTAGCTGGGACTACAGGTGCCCACCACCACGCCTGGCTAATTTGTGTTTTTAGTAGAGACGGGGTTTCACCGTGTTAGCCAGGATGGTCTCGATCTCCTGACCTTGTGATCTGCCTGCCTTGGCCTCCCAAAGTGCTGGGATTACAGGCGTGAGCCACTGTGCCTGGCCTATCATTTTTAGGAGATATGAATATCTTAACAAGTGAGGGCTACTGTCCAACTTAAAGCTCCCCACTCCTCCCTGTTAACGTTTCTTGTGTCCCCAGAATATGCATGAGATTATTCCATAGGGACTGTTGTAGCAACCTGGCATTTTCCCTCTTAGTAACACAGCCTATACACTTTCATGTTAGCACACGTGGTATTGTTTTTTTTGTTTTGTTTTTTTCCAGTTTTTTCTTTTGATACTTTTTGTTTGTGTTTTTGAGATGGAGTCTCGCTGTGTCGCCAGGCTGGACACTGCAGTGGTGTGGTCTCGGCTCACTGCAACCTCAGCCTTCTGGTTTCAAGCAATTCTCCTGCCTCAGCCTCCTGAGTAGCTGGGACTACAGGCGCTCTCCACCACGTCTGGCTAATTTTTAGTAGAGACAAGCTTTCGGCATGTTGGCCGAGCTGGTCTCAAACTTTTGACCTCAAGTGATCCGCCTGACTTTGCCTCCCAAAGTGCTAGGATTATAGCCATGAGCCACTGCATCTAGCCTACTCATGGTTTTTAACAGCCAAAGATTTACTGTTGAATGGACAACTTCATTTTACTATTTTATGTAGATTGTTTTTAGCTTTGGTATTAGGGTAAACCCTTGAACAGTGTGGAGGTCGGGCACCAACCCCCGTGCAGTGAAAAAGCCATGTACAACTTTTGATTCTAAAAACTTGACTACTAATAGCCTACGGTTGACCAGAAGCCTTAGCAATAACATAAACAGTTGTGAACACATATTTCACGTTATATGTATTATATACTATATTGTAATGTAAGCTAGAGAAAAGGAAATAAACCATAAGGAAGACACATTTACTATTTATTAAGTGGAAATGCATATAAAGGTCTTCATCCTTATCATCTTGAGTAGACTGAGGAGGAGAGGAGGAGTTGGTCTTGCTGTCTCAGGGATAGCAGAGATGAAAGTAAGTCTGCATATAAGCGGATTCTGCAGTTCAGACTAGTGTTCAAGGGACATCAGTACAAGGACAGCAAAAATGAGTAGGGGGCAATGTGGAGCTAAGTTCGTTTAAAAGTTCTCAGTATTGCATTCTTCAGTCCTGACCCATTATCTTTTTACCTTTGATCAGAAGTTGATGAAAAGTACATTCCTTGGCAAACTAGATTGATAGTTCCTGTCCTGAGGGTGTGGGACAATACTTTTGAATTTTGAGTTTATTCAGAGCATTTCGCTAGAAACCAACACTGAGAATCTAACAGGGTAAGGCAGTGCCTAGTCTGACCTCTGCCTGTAAGGTTAGGCCACTGGCTGGGTACATACCATTGCATCCTGTTGTCAGTTTAATGATCTTGCAGAAGGCTTCTCCATGAATGTTTGCCATTTAGTGTCAGGCCTTATACTAAGTTTTTACATACATTTAATCCTCATGGCCTTTTGTGGTAGATCTTATCCTGATTTTGTACATGATGAAACTGGCATGGAGAACATCTGTATTTGCCCAGTATTGTAAGTTAGCAGAGGATTGACGTTAGCTGTAGCCTTTGGGGCCGGCTGAAACTAGCTTTATGACTTTTTACTTGAGGGAAGGAGGGGTAGGGAGCTGTTGTAAAGGGCAACTGAGCATTAGGTCTTGAACTGAGGGTCTAGGGGGAGACCCTCAAGAGCTCTGGCACTGCCTTCTCTTCGTGCTGGATGACCTCACGTAAGCCCAGATCCTTTCAGAGCCCAGTGATTACATGGAGAAGACGACCCTCCCTGGCATTTTCACTTGGCTCAGGACAGAACACCTGAGAAAATCCTTAGACCAAGCTTGTCCAGCTGAAGACAGTTTTTCCAGTGTGGGCCAGGGAAGTAAAAATATTGGACGCCCCTGACTACACCAAGGATGTGTTTCTGTAGACAGAGCAGGTAGACCTGGGGGAGAGGAGCCCCGAGAGCTAGGAAGGGACCAGACGAGAGAGGTTATATTTCTACTTCAGTTGTCTGCCATGGGGCAGGGACACGTGGTGGTGAGAACCCTGGCTCTTTTTTTTTTTTTTGGCATAGACATTGCCTTTTTTTTTTTTTTCTTTTTTTGAGACCAAGTTTCACTCTTGTCGCCCAACTGGAGTGCAATGGCGCGTTGTCGGCTCACTGCAATCTCTGCCTCCCAGGGTTCAAGCGATTCTCTTGCCTCAACCTCCTGAGTAGCTGGGATTACAGGCTTGCGCCACCACGCCCGACTAATTTTTGTATTTTAGTAGAGACGGGATTTCACCGCTTTGGCCAGGCGGGTCTCAGACTCCTGACCTCAGGTGATCCACCTGCCTTGGCCTCCCAAAGTGCTGGGATTACAGGCATGAGCCACCGCATCCAACTAACATTGCCTTTTCTTAACCAAAAGTTTTGTTTATTTTAAATCAAGGTTGTATGTGCAAATTGAAGAGCCAGCTTGTCCAGCGAGGCTTGGAACAAAAACAGGTCTGCCAACATTTCCCTTTAATGAGGCAATCACTTTCTATTCTTTTGGTATTTGCCTCTGTATATCTAAATGATACACTTGTGTTACTATTTCCCTCTCGCATTTTTTGGCTGAGTGTGGGTGACACTTCTGGGACCACTGGGCCTTTGTCTTGGGTAGGAGTTCACTAGGGGTGACTTTTGCTGTCCTCAGTCCCCATTTGTGACTCTCCCTTATCCCATTTATGGTAATAATATTTGGAGACATTTTCAGTTGTCACAGTCGGGGGATGGTACTGACCAGAGAGGCTGCCGTAAGCATCCTACAGTACACAGGGCAACTCCACAACAGAAAATACCTGGGCTGAAATGTCAGTAGCGCTGAGGTTGAGAAACCCTGACATAGGGTGATCTGGTTGCGCTCTTTCCTTGGAGGAACCCCAGAGAAGCTTCAGAAAGCTAAAAGCCTGACTCATGAAAGTTCTAGGGCTCAGTGGGGGAAGTGGTCACCACATATTTTAACCTCACTGTTTTCAGCCTAGACAGCCCATCCTTTGGGTGGCTTCAGTAGGCCTGGGTTTCGTTACCACAGTCCCCTGACAACACAGCTCATATTTCAGTTACCGTGGTCTACTAACTGAGTAACTATAAAGCAAAGCCTTCAGTGTTAGCTCTTCAGTCCACAGATCACCTTTAGAAAACAATAGGCACATCATGATGGGTGATCTGTCATGTCACTTCCTTGACAGTCTGTTGGTGATTGGCTACTGTACAGCTGTGACTCAGTTCACTCCAGATGAGAAAGCTTTTGGTTGTGTTGCCTTC